GGTGACCCTTCCTCAGTTCTGAGGAAGAGTCACCGGACCCGAAACGTTAACTCTGTTTTCTCCTCCACAGATGCTGCCAGACCTGCTGAGCTTTTCCAGCAACTTTGTTTTTGTTCCTGTAAAAAGAGGTGAAGATGTTTTGGGAGAGAACTCCAGGGCTGAAGGCACAGCTGCAAATGGCAGAGGAATTAAAATTGGGTAAACTCAAAAGGCCAGAATTAGAGCAGCCCTGATATTTAGGAGGGTTACATTTTCATTGTGGTACTTGGATTCAAATTTAGATGGGAAGTTAGTCTAATGTATGCTGGTTTTAATAAGACAACTGGAGATTATTGTAGGCTGACTCACCCCAGTTTCTAGTGAGTAAGAACAAAAGGCTTAAATCTGTCCATAAATCAGCAATCTTATTGAGAAGAGCTGGCATTCAAATAGTGAATGTCACATTTGTACAATAAAGAATGTTATTTTGCAATTGGGGCAGGTTAATCAGAATTTTAGCTGGATTCAACTGGATTCAACAATTGAGATAGATTAACTAACTATGGAAGTTCCCATTTTAATACCTTCTAATCCACAGCACTAATATCACTCACAATGATGAGTATAAGAATGGATTTTAAATAAAAATTCAACCAGAAGACTGCAAAGAAATTTCCACAACTAATGGGGAAGTATTTGATTATCTATTGGAATGTCTGCTAGTTTCTACTTCCCAGTATCGTGCAGTTAATTAATAATAGATGATAACAACTATTCCTTGTGCTTCTCATCCATTGAATCTGTAATCTTTTATTAATAATGAGTGGTACAGTCTTATGTGTTCTGATATTCTGGAGTAATGGTGCAGGCATTGGGTGACCAGTATACAGATATTGATCATTATAAGAATCTATTATTCTGTTAAGTGACCATTAACCTGTACATTAAATGAAATGTTTCTGGTGTTGAGAATTCTCTCAATATTTGGCATACATATCCTATAGAAACTTGGGATGCCCTCTGTGTTTAGGTACAGGAAAAAGTCAAACATTCAATTTGATTTCAGTTCAGCTCCCAAGAATCATGTTGTTGGCAAGCAAAAGGCTTTTGTCTTCAATAGCTGGTCAGTAGTCCATAGGTCAACACACCTCTTGTGGCCACCCAACTGCATCACTGCACAGAATCCCTCAGCTCCAATTCATCTGCAAACACTTCAAAACCTACTTGTTCAATAGGCTGTTTACATGATGTTTGCCGTAAGTGTCAGGTTACTTGTTTTTCAAAACATGTAGATTCCTTTGAAACACTAGTTTCAAAACTGTTCTTTCTCATTTCAGCCCACAATTTAAATAAAACTAAGACACACTCTTTACAATCTGACTTGTATATTGTACTGACCATGCTATATGTAACTAATGTATATAATAAAATCCTATATATTTAGATATAGTACTAAACTCTGCTGTTTATGATATACTAATCCTCTGTAAACAACTCATGTAAATAACATACTAACTCTGTTTTTTAAATTCCATCACAGGGTATGGATGTTGCTGATAAGCCCAGTATTTAATGCTGATCCCTAATTCCCCTTGAGTTGAGTAGCATGCTAGATCATTTTCGAGGCCATTTAAAAGCCAAACTGCTGTAGGTCTGGACTAACATTTAAAGATGAAAGATTTCCTGCCCTAAGTGGAATAGTGAATCGGATAGTGTTTTATGACAATTGATGATAGTTTCATGGTCACCATTTGATGAGACTAACTTTCAATTCCAGATTTTTCTTATTATTTAAATTGATTAGATTTGAACCTGTGGCCCACAGCATGTTCCTGGGTCTCTTGATTACTGGTCTGGTGACATTACAACCATTCCACTGTCTGTGGTTGGTTCGCTCGCCGAGCAGGTTCATTAGTTCGCAGACGTTTCATTACCCTGCTGGGTAACATCATCAGTGCAGCCTCCAATGAAGCGCTGTTGTGTTTTTCCGCCTGGTATTTAAACTCTGGGGTCCATTGGAGTTGATTACATCATTTCCGGTTTTTCTTTGCAGTGGTGTGTATATAGGGTCTAATTCTATGTGTTTATTGATGACCTTCTTGGTGGAGAACCAGGCCTCTAGAAATTCCCGTGCTTGTCTCTGTTTGGCCTGTCCTATTTATTTTGTTTTAATACCTCTCAAAAACAGTGGCCATTAACGTGGCAAGTTCTATTAGTATCCACTCTTAAGTGAGCCATTTCCTTTTCACTAGCTGAAGAAAAGACTAACTTTTAAATAATACAAAAGTAAAGTGACAGAGAAACAAAATGATTTGTCTTCACTGAGGATAAATTGATCATTCAACTTGTGATTAATTTTTTTTTCTCAAAACCAAGAATGGAGTTGTCACAATTCCAAAGTCCACAAAGAAAGAACGGATTTGGGAAAACTGTCAGGTAAGATTTTTTCTCAAGAATATGTTTTTTAAAATTCTCACTTTACGTTATTGTCTTTCATAAGTTGTTCTGCACCGCCCCCACACTAACGTCTAACTTTCCTGCATTCTTGTAGAAAGGTTTCTCGTTAGCAATCAGTGTTCCATACTGAGCTCTTGCTATGAATGAAAAGACTGTCATTTAGCAGAATGAATACTCAGTGACTCAGCAACACTAGCAAATCCTAGAATCACTGACAGAGTATCTTCACAGCAACAAGTTATACCATCCACGAAAAAAAAGCCTTGGTTTCACTGATTAGCAGTGTCAAGCAGAGTGTTCATGTCAATGAGCGACAGAATTATTGGCAGAAATATTTAGAACTGTTCAGAGAAGCAACAACAGTTTCAGTGAGTCAAAAAGCCTGAGAATTACGGCCACAAGATACAGCCGCAATAAACGTGAATCATTAATATTAGCACACATTGGTCACTAACATGTTGGCCCAGTGTGTTAGTACCTAATGAGCAATTGAATTTTCTTCATGGAGATAGACACTGGGACCTGAGAAGTAATAATGGATATCAGTTTCCAGGTGCACAAATCGCTAAATATTCATGCACAGGTACAAAGGGTAGTTAATAAGACAAATGAAATGTTGGCTTTTGTCCTGTTGAATTGAAATTCAAAGTTGAGTAAATTACGCTTCAGTTGTTTAACACCTTAATCAGCCCCCAAGTAAATTATTGAGTTCAAGTTTAGGTACCAGACCAGTGGAAGGACACAGGGCTCTTGATGGGCTACAATTCAGATCCATCCGGGATGTTCAGTGCCTAAACGGATCTGGTTAAAATGTTATCAAGATCAATAGGGTAGATAAAACGATGTTATTGTCTACTGAGGTGGAAATCCAGAACAATCAGTGTTAGGTCATTCAAGAGTGAAATCAGGGATCATATGTTCCATATAAACGGTAGGGAACATTTGGATCACTGCTCCAGAAGACTGTGGCTGTTGGTTGGATTGAAATTGTTATGACTACTAATGCATATATTTTATCAGGTAAACATATCATGGGGTAAATAGAGTTTTAAGTATATTAATTGAAGGGTTAAGCAGATTTGGGCTGAGTATCTTCTTCCTATATCTATTTAATTACTGACAAAAAGTATTCATGCATTCATGCCAACAAATAACAGACTCCCTGTCAAAGAGTTTTAATGTGTTGAACAATCAAATAATTGTCATACAATAGCAGTGTAATGTAGCAACAATATTTTGGCTTCAAAGTATTCACAATAGCAAATCAGAATCCTAGACAAGATATTAGTACCAAAGACATCAGGATTCAGGTGCCACAAAAGCTATGTCACTGCATAGCCAAAGGATATTTTTTCTCTGTGTCTGTTTAAGTGTCACCAATCAAGGCCTATTTCCTCATTTCAAGAAAGGCACATGTCATGCTCCTAGCATCTGGTCTTGAGTCAGTCAATTGTGGGCACAGGAGCACGGGAGAGCTGGCTAGCATGAGCCAGCAATTTTCTGTGAGAAACTGATGTTAGAATCTTCCTCCACCTGATAACAGGCTCATGAGATCAAGAACTTGTGTTAGGAATGGTAAACATAAATCCACATGCTGCCCCTGAGAGTTCCAATAGAAAGCACTACTACATTGTATTAAATTGTATTAAAGTTTAGCAATTGATGGCAACAAAATAATTCTGAGGCTGTGTTTTCTGTAAACCATCTCAGTGTGTTCACTAATGATCTTGTATGAAAATTGTTGAAATTAACTGAAGATTAATGCTATGGTAAAAATAAGCTGCTGTTTCCATATTGGTTTCCTACTGATTTACTAATTTTAAGGAATACTGAAAGTCTATTAACTTCACTTCCTCATAGGTGTTCCATTTTTTTCTTACGGAGGATGATATTGCTGTTCTAAATGGAATGCATGATGGCCTGCATGTTTCCTGGGATCCTTCAAATATCGAATGATGTATGTCAAAATTTTACTAACATATACTAATTGATAAACAAATAATGTGTCAGGTGCACTCATTCTTGAAATATGCATTAAACCTTTTATAGATTATGTTTCTAAAGTTTATTGATCTTGTGAAAATGCATTGAGCAACTTTCTACAAATACCACATGAGAAACTAACACAACAGAAACTTCAAATGCAAATATTGGGACCATTATGAATTGAGTCATTACAAATGAGGACTTTTGACTCCTCACATTATAGTGCCTTATTTAAATGGATCTTAGGCAGTTTGGAGAGAGTGAATGTTTTAAGTGGTGAATAGAGTGTCAAGCAACCTGCTGTGTTCTGCATGGTGGCAAACTTCTTGAGTATTATTGGAGCTGCACTCACCCAAAACAAATGGGGAATATTCCACTACTCTCTTCAACTTTTGCCTTTGTAGGTTGTTTGTGTTTGTAGTTTTGGATAGCCAGGTGAATTCCAATGCTTTGATCAATTTTTGCAGCCACAATATTAATATAACGGATCTAGTTCAGTTTCTGGTCAACGGTAACTCTGACGATGTTGATAGTGGGGGAGTCAGGTATTGTATTGCCACTGAATGTCAAGAGGCACTTGTCCGATTCTGTCTTGTAGGGAATGATCGTTATCTAGTATTTTTTGTGGTACAAATGTTACTTGCCACTTATCAGTCCAAGCCTGAATGTTGCCCAGGCCCTGCAGTACTCAGACGCAGATTGTTTAAGTATCTGACGAGTTGCGAATGGTACTGAATACAGTGCAACCATCAGAGAACATTCCCATTTCTGATCTTATGTTCAAAGGAGTGTCATTCATTCGAAGATAGGAATTAGAAGCAGGAGTAGGCAATTCATCCCTTAGAGCCCGCTTTGCCATTTAATGTAATCATAGCTGATTTTGTCCTGGTCTCAAATCCACTTTCCTGCCAGCTCCCCATAGCCCTTTATCCCACTTTTCATCAGAAATATATCTATTTCAATGTTTCATGAAGTCATTGAAGATGGTTGCATGCAGAACATCATTCTGAGGAACACGTGCAGTGGTCTTGGTACGAACAACAGCCACAGCTATGATCCTTCATACTAATTATAACTCTACCTAATGGAGATTCTTATTGACTTCAAGCTTGGTAGATGTACTTGATGCTACACTCGTAAATGCTTATCAAGGACAATCACTCTCACTTTATCTCTGGAATTCAGCTCTCCTTTGTTTGGATCAAGGCTCTAATGAGGTCAGGAGCTGTGTGGGCCATGTGCAACCCAAACGGAACAACAGTGAATGGGTTATCAAAGAAACACTGCTTAATAACACTGTCAGCAATACTTTCCATCATTTCACCAATGATTGATGACTGATGAGCTGCTAATTCACCATATTAGATTTGTCCTGCTCTTTGTGGATAGGAAATACCTGGGAAATTTTCCAAAAGTCAGGTAGATGCCAGTGCTGTGACTGTACTGGAACACCTTAATTAGGGACATGCTTAGTTCCAGTGCACAAGTCTTCAGTACTGAGGCCAGAATGAGATCTAGGCAGAATCCAATGCCTTCGCCATTTCTTGATCGAACAAGGAGTGAATCAAATTGGGTCGAGACTGACATCTATAATGTTGGGGACTTCAAGAAGAGCTGAGATGGACGATCTACTTGGCACTCCTGACTAAAAATGTTTGCAGATACATTGTTTTGTTTATTGTTGGAATCAGTGGGGAAAAGGATGTTTGTTCACTGTTTCTTGGTGATGGGATACAGGCCTCTGTAGAGATATTTCATACTCCTTGCTGCAAATGCTGTGCGCTTGGCACAAATCCTGAGACTACATGATACAGATGTTAGAGTGACATGCCACCTGACATACGGCAAGATGCACACACCCTTGACTGAGGCCTGCTGCATAGCATAGCCACCTGTCTGGTTATGTAACTGAGTCAATTGTCAGTGCAAGCTATGGGAAGGGAGGGCAAGGCACTTATTCTCATGACTCATTTTATAGCCCCTATACCAACTTCTGCCAACCAATTTCCTCCACACACTGCATTTTGTCTTTACACCCTTCATAATAACTCATCCAGTATTCTTCATGGGCAGAGCTCAGGACCAATGCTGAATGAAATAAAATAAATTACAGACCTCATCATATTAAAAGAACACCCTTACTGAAAAGCTCATTCCCTTCAAGTTCTTAATCCTGAACAAAAAATATTTTATTCTTGGCATGACATCAAAGACAGCTAATCCCTTAAAAATCTCTTGGAGCTCTCAATCAAACCGTGAGTCTAAAGGCCCTTCACAGTGATAATAACAGGTTATGGAAGCTGTCAAGTAGTAACCCTACTACATTAAGGGTTATGTAAACAGCCAGTGAAATTGCAAGCGTCCATTTTTCTCCCCAGTCAGGAGCACAACAGGCTATTTATCTTTCAAAACTGGAAGAGCATGGAGCTTAAATAACTCGATAGCTTTGACAGTTCCATAGTCATCCAACTTATGCACATTCACATCAGTTGTTACAAACCTAAGTTGTACACTTTGGCAAACAGGTTTTGCTTCAGACAAAACGGGGTCTGTTTGAACTCAGCAGTGAGTTTGAATGGCTTTGCTGAGTTTGGGCTCCCCCTGCATGAATCACACCCTGTAACCCATCTCGTAGAAACAGGATCTGTCAGAAATGGGAGCTGGGGTTCAAACATCAATTTGGTCGAGGTTGGAATCTCCACAGCTCTGTGGAAAAACAGGCCTACCTTTAGTTGATAGTACAAAGCCAAAGTAAAATTCAGAGTAATGATGTAATGTTGGAGGATTAATGATGTGAAGTAATGCAACGCAAGTTCAATTTTATGACCTCATATTTGCTCCTGTGCAGATACTGACTGCACTCAAGGTACCTTCCCATAGGGAGAGCCAGAGTTTGAAAAGGAAGCTTATTGCTGGACTATTGCAATATTTCTAGTAGCTGGTTGAAGTTCAGTATTACCAAATGTTCTGGGCAAGTCCTTGTATTTATCCTTTTAGCAGCAAAAAATGTTTACTCCAGTGAGAACTGTGCAGGAGAAATTAGCATAACTGGTGTTTTTCACATATGCCTTATATTTCTCAGAATAATTATTGTTCTTTTCTAACTTCCCGAAACTTCTTAAATACTCCTAATCTGTAATTTACAAATTCATTTCTTTACATCCTTTTGCTTGTCTGTTATTTTATGAACTACTTGGGAATTCCTGCTTGTCATTATTTTTCTTCGGTTTTCCCTCTAATCTTTAAAAGATTAATTTGCTTCTGCTAATTAATCATTTAACCAAATAGCAGGTGGTAGAAAAAAATTGCAGCTGAGTGAGACTGAAAGCACAGTAATATCTTTCAAACTGTCAATGATCTACACCAGAAACACCCTGAAATCTCTGAGGAAACTATAGCTTTTCTATAATTTTTTCTAATTATGAATATTAATTAAGAAAATAAACATGAAAAGCCCCTCTGCACTTTTTAAAGTGAAATCTTCTACAGAGGTGAACTTCACATTTAAACCACTGCTGTTTTCATGTAAATGGTATGCCTTATTCATGCACCTTTAAAGGATACTTCCTTACTTAATGATCTGTATTTAATAACTTGACAATTCTGTGCAAACTGCTGGCATTGTATGCTCTTTAATATACCTTTTGTTAGGATAACAATGAAGCAATATGCCTATAAACCACACGCTAAAGATATAACTGACTTTCAGTTATGACATGTCTCGATTCATTGTTTATTGTATCATGCAGTACAAAATGTGCAATTACTCAGATCTCAGTCGATATCCTGCATCATGACTAAGAAAACAATGAAAGAAGCCACACCCAGAGTTTAACAAAAGCAAATTCACACACCTACATATCCCGTCAAAACAATCAAGGCAACTTCCTGCCCAGAATTTAGAATTATTATAAAGCAAGGAGAAGAAAATGTAATATATTGCTTCTAGTGTTATGTTTTCCATCAGTGCAGGGTACAAGAGAAGATTCATGGTTATAGCAATGCATTGCCAGTACCATTGCTCGTCGCTATGTATTAGGGTGTGAATCCATTACGCATTACACCATATAAGTAGATGCTTGATCTCCTCAGCTAAACCATCCCAGAAGATCGTGTCTGGAGGCTGGGCCTAATTTCACATCAAGATTCCATGGAGTTCCACACCACCCAGAGACAGATTCAGACTAACTCCAGTGATAGTCTGAGACCAGATAATGTCACTGACTTTTTTCTTGTGATGATGTGTGGTATTGAAAGAGAAGAAACTGTGGAAAGGAACAGTTTATTTAAAAAAATTTAATTAAGTCATAGACAGCGACTTGCTTTGAAAAAATGTGTACTTCCCAGTATGGGGATTATTTTCACATGTGTTGAAAGTATGTAACAGGCAACCATAAGACTTAAGGTCCCTTAGTTTTAAATTTGTGTGTATTTAACCAAGATATGTTGCAAGGAAATAGCACATTCTATTTGCATCAAATCCACAGTTGGAGTTTCAGGCTGGAATCAGAGTTTAAGTCTGAAGCAGTCTGTTGCTATGGTCATGTTGTGTCTTGAAAATTGGTAATATATTGTTGCACCACACAGCTGCTGCTCTTTGCAACTGTATCTTTACATAGTTTGATTACTGTACTGTGCCATATAATGGTTCACCCATTTTGTGTCACAGTGTTGGTTTGATCTCTCTGACATTTCTGTGTCTCTTTGCCCCTCATTATAGCATGTATTTTTGTGAGTTGTTCTTTTTCCCTTCATAATGATGCTTGTCATTATGCAAAACATTGTTTGCTACCATTTGATGTCCTTTCATGTTAGCATTACTATGCTTTCTGTGTTTGTTGCTGGTTATTAGCCCTCCAACATATTTCATAATTTCAATGTTAGGAAGGATTCCTAACATTTGTCCAACAATGAATCAATCAGCTAGAGAGGAGATCATTGCATGATTCATATGAACACAAGAAATAGAACTGGCCATTAGTCCAATCAAGAATGCCCTGCCGTTCAGCAAAATCATGGCTGAACTTTTTCATCAACTCCATGTACCCATCTTATACCTATATCTCTTGATTCACTTGGTGCACAAAAACATACCAATCTCTGTCATGGATGAATCATCAACAAAGCATCCTCATCTATCTTGGATAGGGAATTCCAAAGGTTCACAAACCGCTAAATGAAGAAATTGCTAAATGGCCAGCCTCAGACTAAGATGCCTACTTCTAGTATCTCTAAGTGGCGGATGTGGTGGGGGGGAGACAATCCCTTAGCTTCTTCCCTGTTACACTCAAAAGAATATAAGCCTAGTCCACTGCATTTCTCCTGATAGGGCAGCTCTCTTATCCCAGAAAGCAGAAACTAAAACAGAAATTGCTGGAAAAACTTAACAGTCTGGCAGCATCTGTGGAGATAAATCAGGGTTAATGTATCAGGTCCAGTGACCCTTTTTCAGAACTGATGGTAGATAGGAAAAGTTTGGCAGTTATGCAGGAGATGGGGAGGGGAGAGTAGTAAATGATAAATGGAGATAGAGCTCAAAGAGAGAGAACGAAAACAGTTGGACAGACAAGAAGTGGATAAAGGTCAGCCTGGCAGAAAGAATAGCTGCTAATGAGGACTATTAGTGACTTACAATGGGTTGTGTATGGAAGCGGCCCATGTGATGACAGAGCCTGGTGTTTGGGGTAAGGACATGAGAGAAGGTGCCTCAAGCCCTAAAATTGTTGAACTTGATATTGAGTCTAGAAAGCTGTAGAGTTCCCAAGTGGAAAATGAGCTGCTGAGCTTCGCTACAGCACTGCAGCAAGCCTGAGACAGAGATGTTGTCCAGTGAACACGGTGGTGTGTTGAAGTAGCAGACAGTTGGAAGCTCAGGGTCTTTTTTGTGGACAGAACATAGGTGTTCTGTAAAGCAGTCACCCAGTCTGCACTTCATCTTCCCAGTGCAGAGGAGACCAAATTGTGAGCAGCGAGTACAGTAGACTAGATTGGATACAAAGGAGGGGAGAATAAATGGACAGGTGTTATACCTTCTGCATTTGCAGGGGAAGGTGCTGTTGTAGGTGTTCGGAGTGACAGAGGAGTGGACCAAGGTGTCCTGGAGGAAACAGTCCTTGCAGAAGGCTGACAAGGGAGGAGAGGTGAATATGTGTCTGGAGTTTGCAGAAAAGGCGGCTAATGATCCTATGGATGTGGATGCTGGTGGAATGGTAGGTGAGGACAAAGGGGACCCTATTGCTTTAGTGGGAGGGAAGAGAGGGGTGAGGGCTGAAGTGGAGAAGATGGGTCAGACACAGCTGACAGCCCTGTCAACAATGGTGCTGGGGAAAATCCTCAGTGGAGGAAGAAGATGGACATTTCAGAGGCCCTCTTGTTAGAGTTGGCATCATCAGAACAGATGCGACAGAGATGGAGGAATTGGGGGAATGGAATAGTCTTTACAGGAAGTAGGGTGTGAGAATGTATAGTCAAGGTAACTGTGGGAGTTGATGGGTTTGTGGTGAATATTGGTGGCCAGCCTATCCCAGAAATGGGAACAGAGATGTTGAGGAAGGGAACAAAGGAGTCAGAGATGGTCCAAGTGAAGATGAGAGTGGGGTTGAAATTGAAAGCAAAATAGATAAAACTTTTCCAGTTCCAGAGAGGGGTAAGCAGCACCGATGATGTCATTGATATCCCAGGGAAAGAGTTGTGGGTGGGAGCCAGAGTAGCCAAAGAATGTTCTGCACACCCCATAAAGAGACAGGCATAACTCGAGCCCATGCAGGTACCCATGACCACCCCTTTGACCTGAAGGAAGTGAGATGAGTTAAAAGAGAAATTGTTCAGGGTAAGGACAAGCTTGGCTAGGCAGGGGAGGGTGGTGGTGGATGGGGACGATTCAGGCCTCTGTTTCAGGAAGAAACAGAGAGCCCTGAGACCATCCTGATGGAGGACGGGCATGTAAAGGGATTAACACTTCGATAGTAAAGAGGAGGTGGCTGGAGCCCATGAACTGGAAATTCTGAAACTGGCATAAAGCATCAGTGGTATCGTGATTATCTCAGACTCCAGCATCGGCAGTTCCTACTATCTCTGAGTGGTATCGTGGATGTAAGTGGGATGGAATTGAACAAGGGAAGAAAAAATTGAGTTGAGGTAGGAAGAGATGAATTCTATGGGGCAGGAGCAGGCAGAAACAATGTGTCTGCCTAGACAGTGCTGTTTGTGGATTTTGGGAAGGAGTTAGAAGTGAGCTGTTTGGCGTTGGGAAACTATCAGCTTGGATGCAGTGGAGGGGTAGATCACAAGATGAAATTACATTGGTGAACGTAGTGGACATAATGGCCTGATTTTCCATGGTGGGGTCATGGTCCAGGCAGAGGCAGGAGGAGGTGTCTGAGAGCTGGTGCTCAGCCTCTGCAATATAGAGAAGAGTACGCCAGACAACAACAGCACCACTCTTATCACCAGGCTTAATTACAAAGTCAGGGTTGGATCTGAGAGCACAGAGGGCAGTCAGTTCAGAGGGAGATAGGCTGGAAAGGGTGAGGAGGGCAGAGAAATCGAGGTGACTAGTGTCACATTCGAATGGAGGCCAGAGGGAGGGGTCCAGGTGGAGGGAGAGTGTTGGAGGAAGGTGAGTGGGATCTGTGGGACAGGGATGGACTCTTTTCCAAAGAAATGGGCATGGAGGCGAAGGAGACGGAAGAAGAGTTCAACATCATGGAGAGCCCAAAATTCATTAAGGTGGGGACAGACGGATAAAACTGTGACCTTTGCTGAATACTGAGTACTCAGTCCTAGAAAGCAGTCTACTGAACCTTGATTGCACCCTTCTCAGTCAAGTATATCCCTTCTTAGGTAAGGAGACCAAAAATACACTTCTCTAAATGTGGTCTCCCTAAATCCTTATACGGTTTCAAAATGTATGTAAAGAAAGATACTGCACTTACAGAGTATATATCACAACCTCAGCTGATCCAAAAAGAGATCACATCTAATGAAGTACTTTTGAAGTATAGTTACTGTTGTAGGGAAGTGTACTTACAAATTTGCACACAGCAAGACACCACAAGTAGCAACAAGGTAAATGACCAGAAATTATATTTATGGTAATGTCATTTGAGAGATATATGTTGACCAGGAGACTAGGAGAACTCTCTTGTATCTGTGACTTCCAAATAACCCAAGAAAGTAGAATAAAAGAGCATAAATTTAAGTTGAAGTTAGTGAATAGTAAACTTAAAATGGATAGAATCAAGAATTTATTTTCTCAAGAACAGTCCTGATTTGGAATAATCCATCTTTACCCATATCTGAACAATCAAATAAAAGTTACTTTCACAAAGCTGCCTGGTTACCCTGAAAAGATGTAAATTATTTATACAAGCCCCTGTGTCCTATGATAACAATGTGTAGGGACAGTTATTACATACATGTGAATATTATATATACAGATACAAAAACATTAGAAACACTGAAACACAGTTAAATGCTAAGTTCAAAGCATTACTGGGAAGACCTTGTCCAGACTATGAGTTCTTCTTGCATCTGTGTTTAAAACTGAAAATTTTCATCAAAAATCTCAATTTGAAATATAAACCCACTTTTTTTTATTTCATAAAGGCATATTTGGCATGCTGTCACATGAATTTAAGTCTCAGACTTAGCTTAACCTCTTAAGAGAGAAATTCAACCAATTCTGAAGACAGTGTATTGATTCCTCTTATCCTAACATAGAGAAATGCCAAAGCACATCTAACACCAATAACTTTTCAAGTACTTAAATTAGACATGCATCCGTTCAGAATAATTTATCTATCTCTTCGTTTTACAAACAGATTAAAACAGGAACTTTTAAACTCTCTAATGTAAGTGGTCTACTGTAAATCTTTGACATGCTAAATATATAATGTAATCAGAATAATGTGAACCAAAGGATTTTACTATCAGTTAATCTTTCAAAGTGTGCGCAGAATCTGTAGCAAACAAGCAGCTATCATCCATTTTTAGGTTGTAAATGGTTAACTTTGAAGATCTGATTGCAGTGGGGAGGTATTGTGAAACTAGAGTGAATAAATTATGATGTAAAATAGCAGGATCCATTTGTTAAATGTATGACTGCCTGCAAAATTTATTAACCAGAGGTTTTTGGTCTCTTTATGTGGATACCAAATGACAACGCTCCTGCAGACCTTCAATGTAGATTCCATTATTATGTTTACTGTTCCCATGTAGCCTAAGAAAGTTGACAAGTGAGACTGCCTGAAAGAGATATTGCAGTTAAGCAACATATACATATGATTACTCAAAAAATTACACACTAACAGATTTTAAACAATACATAAATATATTGTGTAAATTCAATACCTAACCACTTGGTTCTAAACTTTCAACTTAAACTTATAATTTTCTCTTATCTCTCCTACAGTTCCAAAGATGTCACCCAAGTGACCATTCTTAATGGGTAAATCTAGGCCAAGATGGAAGGGTTAAGTGGAGTTGTAACTTGGGTGTACTGCCTGAATATCAGACGCTACCACTACATTTACTAGTGGTTTATTTGATTATGCTGTTTTTATTATTTGGATTAATACAGTTTTAGATATAGTTACAATTTCATTCCTCTAATTTAGGCTGAGGTGTGCCAGATCTGATTGTTGATAAATAATATCCCATGTGGTTTCACAGACTTGCCTGAACTTTATTCCACCAATACTTTTTATGGAATCAAGGCTTTCTCATGCAGACAAAATTTACAACCAAGTTACACTGGAAAAATAATAATGGATTGAAGAGCCCACTGCAGGATTATTATAACCATTTCTACCACTCTTCATGGAATGGCTTTTATAAAGAGACATCTGTTGGAAAAAGTATTCGTGGCCTAACATGGAGAAATTAGTCATCAAAAAGTAATATGGAGACTAGCGTTTGAAGGATAATACAGTCCAAAACGGGGTGAAGTGAAATGCTTTCCATTTTTTTAGCGCTCTGAATTTGTGGACCTACAAAAATTAAAATGCAGTGTAACTGCTGAGGTATAATTTTGAGCTCTAAATTTAACTGTCTTTCCTTGGATTGCACTAGGAATTTGAAACATACAATGATCTTATCTAAATTATAACGCTGTGCCCTCACAACAAACAATGCCATTTTGTAAAGCTAAAAAACAGTGACTGTATTTTTGTGATACACTGGGACATGTGCCTTTGATTTGTTTTACAGGTCTTTGATTTTTCACTCAGCAAAGAAGATTTGCTATTTATAAACTCACTGAAGAATACCAAAAAGCTGATTACACTGAACTACCCTTTATGGAAGGAACAGAAACCCCAATCAGAAGCAACAATTGCCAAAAAGGATCTCTTTCAGTAAAGTGAACATGTTCATTGAATGCTCGGAGACACTGTTTTTGTCCATATCTACAATGAGCTATGTAAGCGAACTAACGTTTATTGAGGATTTTATTTGTTTTAATTTAATGCCCCACTTGATTAGTTATATATTTACCATGAAAACAGCACTCCAGAAAAGTTTCGTAAGAGTCACGTTTGTGCCCTCCTCCAAATATCAAGTGATTTTTACATTTAAACTTGAAGTTTGCATTAATCCATGCGTTTTATTTAAATTTTAGCATTGAAAATTAAAGATTATTCCATTCAGGCACTTAGTGTAGTATACTTCCCACATCACTTCATCTTATTTTCAGCTACTAATGCGAGTAATAACCCATGCTGCAAACAGAGAATAATTGCTATACTTATCCCAATATGTGGGCTGGCAGTTGAGAAATTAAAAGTGAGGAAAAAGACATACGATCATTTTAAATTTATGGTTAACCTGAGGCTCTGAGACAGCAAAGTCAGGTTCACAGGAATAATCTTCAGTGCACCTTACTTTTGCATTTCTTATTTTGTATTCAGAAAATCATCTTATGCTATTTCCCCCAATTTTATGGTCTTTTTGAATACGTAAGAACTGAATTACGCAACTGAACATAGAATGTTTAAATGTACCAAAATCAACCTTGTCACTTCTTTGTATTTTTTTTCTTAGAATTTCTGTTGCTTGGCTCTGAGATAAGCCTCAGAATAACTCCCTGGTAATCACTTATTGTAACTAAGCACATCATGTCAAAAATTAGAAAGCTTGTAACTGTATCCTGGATTAATTACTTGAGTTGTAAATGATATTAAAGTAAAATATTTACGTGTACTTAATCAGATTGCAGGATAATTGCATCTGTTATCAAATCAGTTATTATAAATATATGGTGAATACTTAGATATGTTGTCAAAGCCATTGAGTGATTTAACAGCCACCTTTTCAAAGTTTCAAATTTATTGGGGAATAGAATGGGCTGGAAGTTTGCTTGCATTTTGATGCCTTCACTGGCTATTGAAAATCATTAAATAGCTTAACAAATGCATTCACACCATTAAATACATAATGAAATAAACAGGAAAAAGGAGACTCCAATTTTAAAAACCTGATTGTCATTTTAGATTTGAATTTTAGAAATTTGACAGTCAATTTAAAACATAACGATCCAGTCGATCCTAGATTCAGCTGATACTAAAAATACAACAGGAAAGCTGAGTTCCAAATGTACCCAAATGTATGACAGATAGTTTCAATATTTGGATCTAAACTATTCTTATAATAAACTACATGAGGTTCTATCTTTCTTTGTTAGCTCTCTCTTCAATGACAGTGCCAGATTATGACAGATTGCATAAGCGTTAGTTACACAATCTTTATGCTAAAATCCCACTTTCAGTTATGGCAAGCATTTACCTACGAGAATATCAGAAGTCAAATAATGCTAATCAACAAGGCTGGTTATGACACTGAAATTGGTGTCCTTATCATTGGACACAAAAATATTGCTTTCCTACATTTTCTTTCCATAGTACCACTCATTTTCACAAGGGACTTACATGTGTTTGAGAATGAGGGATAAAAACAGAAAAGAAAATCACTGCAACAGCATAGCTGATCAGTGAGCATCTGAAATTGATGCTTTCACACTTTGAGTGAAATCATTCATTATGAGCTGCTATTTTTTCCAAATTTTTGGGCTGAAAATGAATGGAGCTTACTTGTAACTTTGGTAAATATAAATATGTTAGAAAGTAAAGTAGTACTGACTGCGTAACATGCAGTTTCAATAACTTAAACTGATGTATCTGCAACTAGTGGTTTGATAATGGGCCCTGCTCTGTGTTGAATATTACTCAGTGCACATGCCACATTTCTGTGTGCTCACTTAAAGTTGCACTCCATAGACACCGATCACTACGGAGGGCAATTAGTCGTTAACCCATGTGTTGGCATCTCCTTAATAGTTCTTCTATCAATATTTGTCATCCTTTTTACCTCTGTTAAGCACCTGTGATATTTTACTACATTAAAGGCTCACTATAAATTCACATTCTTCTTTATCGTGTAGTTCCACAGGCCACACTTCCCCATGCCATCTAGATATAATGCACCAACATGCTTGCTACCAAATAAAAACCAAAATAACTGCAGATGCTGTAAATCAGGAACAAAAATAAAGTTGCTGGAAAAGCTCAGCAGATCTGGCAGCATCTGTGAAGGAAAAAACAGTTAACGTTTCGGGTCCGGTAACCCTTCCTCAGTTACCGGACGCAAAAGGTTAACTCTTTTTTTCTTCACAGATGCTGCCAGACCTGCTGAGTTTTCCATCAACTTTATTTTTGTTATGCTTGCTACCAATTGGATTTCATAGAGATAGTCACTGAAGAGCATTTGTTTACATTCAGATATTTTCTTCCAAATCTGAAATTCTTAAAATAGTCTCCCAAAATTTCATCCTTACTGACTGTGGTTCTAGATTCAGTGGTGTGATTCCACGGCAACATGATTCGATATATTTCCTATTTTTTACTTCATTTTGATGCTCCTACCATTCTGGAAAGTTTTCATTCCTTCTACAAATATATCTTACAGTGTATAGCTGTTTTGCTTCAGATTTTCATCCATCTCTTTCCTAGAAAATTGCTGTGACCCCCTCAGTGAACACTGTAAGAGAGCAGGGAATTGGGAGGTACAGGCTGGAAGAGCAGTGGGGAAGACTTGCCTCTCTAGACGGGTGAGGAGTATATCGAGGATATTGTATGGTCGCTTAAAAACATCTTAGCTAAGGTCTACCATTTTTACTGCTGCAGGAGTGACGAATGTTAAGTTGTTCAGGCCACATCCAGTTTGAAAGAAATACAAAGTTTAGAGCTGCCTTACAATTATTCCCGGAGTCACAGCTCAGTGGTTGCCACTGGTATCTTGGAGTATGTGACCCCAAAATTTCAGTTTGCAGCCTCCACTTGGAGAAGACACAGTGCTGCCAAGGTATACAGCTGTGGAGGGCATTATCGCAGAACCTGCTCTCAAGGATCCATAGCTAGAAACTACAACTGAGTTCCTCTCACTATTGAAGAGCTACTGAGGGCAAAACTAGCAATCAGCTCAGTATGCAGGGGCAACATGCTGGCTCAGCAGTTAGCATTGCTGTCTCACAGCACCTGGGACCCGGGTTTAATTCCATCCTTGGGCGACTGTCTGTGTGGGTATTGCACATTCTCCCCGTGTCTGCGTGCATTTCCTCCAGGGTGCTCCGGTTTCCTCCCACAGTCCAAAGATGTGCAGGTTAGGTGGATTGGCCATGCTAAATTGCCAGTAGTGTCCAGGGATGTGTAGGCTCAGTGATTAGCCATGGGAAATGCAGGGATGGGGTGGGTCTACGTGGGATGCTCTTTGTAGGGTCAGTGTTGACTCAATGGGCTGAATGGCTTGCTTCCAAACTGTAGGAATGTGGTGCCAATCAAGCGGGCTGTTTTGTCCTGGATGCTGTCAAGCTTCTTGAGCATTGTTGTAGCTTCACCCATCCAGGCAGGTGTGAGTATTCCATCACACTCCTGACTTGTGCCTTGTAAATGCCTGGCTGGCAGACTTTGGGGAGTCAGAAGATGAGTTACTTGTCGCAGTATTCCTAGCCTCTGACCTGCTTTTGTAGCCACTGTATTTATATGGCGAATCCAATTCAGTTTCTAGTCAATGGTACCCTTCAGGATGTTGATAGTGGAGTATTTAGTGATGGACCACTGAATGTCAAGGGGCAGTGATTAGATTGTCTCTTATTGGAGATTGTCATTGTCTGGCATTTGTGTGGTGGGAGGGAATATTACTTGCAGCCCAAACCTGGATATTGTCCAGATCTCATTGCATTTGAACATCGACTGCTTCATTTTCTGAGGAGTTGCAAATGGTGCTGAACATTGTGTAATCATCAGAGAACTTCTGAACTGATGAATGGAGGGAAGGTCAGCTCCAACATACACAATCATCTTCCTATTTACCAGATATGACTCCATCCAGTGGAGAGTTTTTCCCATGATTTCCATTGATTTCAGTTTTGCTGGGGCTCCCTGATGCAACACTCAGTCAAATACAGCCTTGATATTAAGGGATGTCACATTCACCTCACCTCATTGAGGCACTTCTGTTTTCAAAAATATGCTTTAGTCATAACATTTGTAAACAAAGACATTTCGACTTGAATTTTGGAGGGAATTCAACATGTCCCAAGACATATTTCATTTGTTTTGACTGTAATGGTCTTAATATTTACAGAGTACATTTCACACCAGCTATACAGCCTGAGGGTAAAACATTTCAAACTGATATTTACAGAAAGTGCAATGGATATAAATTTCTCTATGTGACATGTTTCTCTCCATTTCTTCCAATACTCTTGATCTAGACCATACAATTTTTGTAAGGCACACAGCCCAAGGGATTCTGTAGATTCTAGGCCCATGCAGTTGTATGGCTGAAAGCAATTTTGCCCCATTGCATCTCTGCAGCAGCTAGCCCAAGCTTTAGAGAAGACCTCAGCACATAGTCCTGGACTTCAGAACACGCCAGTCTGCAACGCTCAGCTGGGGACAATTCCTCGCAGTGAAAATAAGCAAGTTTTTGGTAGACCAGACAGCATTTTTCACTGAATGGGTGGTCCATTAGGCACAGTTGTATTTTGTGAGGCACTAATTTAAGCATGAAACATTTTTGCATTCTGTAATTGACATGGAAACTGAGAAACTGCAGTTACTGATCCCTCTAGAACTTCCTCTTTCAGGTACTAATAGGTGACGTGTTGCTCAGTAACATGTTCACAGGAAGCTGGCACAGCAGGTGCAACTGGCAAAATCAGCAAGTGAGTTCTCATCATTACAGTTCAATAAACCTGAAACTCATTGGAAGAAAACCCCTATGACACCAGCAAAAAAAAGTCAAGGCTTTACCTACAGCTGACTGAATATCTCTGCAAACGGAATATTTAACCTTATATGTAATGCTGCTAGTTGGGAGTCAGGTTTAAGAATGGTGGGAATTAGCGATGCTTAGTGTACTGTGGTAAATGAGCACTGGTTATATGTTTATTAATTTGCTTTGATACACAGCACAGTGATTCTCACAGAAAGTATTAGGACTGAATAATTATCAGTTGCTTACTAGCTTCCTCAATATTTGGAGCTGTACGAACCAGGAAAATTTGAGGTTTAATCAACATTCAGTGTTGACGTAGTCTCACCAAAAGTTGCAAACCCCCTGGAAATGGCCTAAACACTCCCAAGTAAGGGAAACCAGGGTTTCTGTTTTTGATCGCAATCCAAGAAGTTCCACTAGAAATGTTCAAGTGTGAAAGTCAAGGATAGGATTGGTTTCAGCTACCCAACACTCACTTTACAGGCTCAGTTAATCATGATGCCTATAACAAAGAGCAAATGATGACAGGAGGGTGTGCAGAAAAAGAGCAAATTTACAGTACAGTAGTGAGGGAAAGGCCCAGTTTTAATCTCCCTCCAAAAAGAAATCTATTAAGTGTTATCTGGTTTAAAGTGTAGATTTGAAAACATGAGTTCCAGAATTTAAGCTTCCGTTTCATTGGATGTAATAACATGTCACAGTTATATAATTGCTCAACTAGAAGTGATATATTAGTGCCTGTTAATATTACCTGATATGATATTAGTGGTTTGTGCGTTGGTGGAAACCCAATTTCTGCCTCTGATCAGATTAACTTTTGCAGGAATCTCCGAATCCAGCAGTGAAGAATATATTCTTCAAACCACATCCCTCCTTTTGAATCAGTTGGCGTGTTCTGTGATTTATATGTGCTCAGCATAGCCTTGTTGAC